GAGTAGAAAGTTTCGTCTTTCTTCAGTGACCGGCAGTTTCTAACTGCTGACCTTTCAGTCAGCAGCTCAAAAAGCAGTATGGAAGCTGGGAACTCAGGGCACAACCTCACCTGACTGCATGTCTACCCACAAGAGAGCGCACATTAGGGAGGGAAGGTAGTTTGTCCCAGCTTCCTGAAGGAAGCCTGGAGATCCCCTTGCTTAAAGGAGGGGATGCTCTACAGCCACTGCTGCCTTGAATGTTGATTTCTGACTGTGCAAAATAGTTGGAGAGAGAGAGAGAGGTAAATGTGAACATTGAATGGCAAGTTAAATGATAGGAGAGATGTAGGTGTACTGTCATATTCAGTTCAGTATTTCCAACAGTTAATATGTCGCTTTCTCCACTTTATAATTTCCATAAATGAGCTACAGAAATGGTAAGTAAGCTCAAATTCAAATATCTAAATAATGGTGCTATGAGGCAGACACCCCGGCCGTCAGGTGCCCCAGCTGCTTCACTAAATGCTGTTTACTTTAATAAATCACGGAAAGAGCCTAGAAGCCATACCAAGGTTCAGAATTATAGTGTATTCTGTGAGGAGTGAGGGGAAATTCCGACATCAAATAAAGAACTCGAGAATATTACCTACATGGGTTTTCAATAATGACGCAGCACTGAATGATGTGGATTTTCCTCGGGTAGGAGCTCCATGTTCTCCGCCCTGCTACCCAAACGTTCCCAGCCCCAACCAGCCCTCCCTGACACAATCATTAAAAGGTATCACGTGATATATACCACATATAAACAGCATTTTGTAAGTTTAACCTTAAATAAACAAGTTTAAAAAAATATTTGTTTGCTTAATATGTAAACTTCTTAATGAAGATTCAATTAAGTAAATTCAAGAAAGTAAATCTTACATGCCACTTTTCTAACAAACTGTGCTATGACCATAATCTTCCAAGTGAAAACTGAAATTCAATTCATATTTCCTGTCTTTATTTCATTCTCTGTGAATATACACAGATCAATTTCCATATTTGTTACTGGCCAAGTTTTGCTTTAGAGTTCTAGTATTAAATAGATCATCTGAGTCCCCATTTCTCTAGGCGTTCTCCACCACCCACATCATGTAGTCCATTACAATAGCTGATAATTGGACTGCCTCTAAAATGAGTTTCTTTCCATTACCATAGGTCACTTTCATTTACGAAATTAAATTTTGTGAAGCACAGCAATGCTCGTGTCCCTTCACTACTCTGACCTTACAATGACTCACTGTCTATCTCAATGAAAAGTCACCACTAAACCCTTTGATTCCACCTCTTTTTATTGAACTTTCTGATTCCATCACTTTTCATTGCTTTGTGTATTTGTTTTACTCACAGGATTAACAAGCGACATGCCAGATACATTTTGTTGTAAAGTAAATTAAAGAGTAACTATTAAGTCTTTAATTTAATCATGCTTTAATTTGTTTTATGACTGACTGTGACTGGTCTCTCAAATATATGAACGGTTTTCCTAATTTCTCCATATTACTTTCTTATCTACTTACATAATCATAATTTTCAAGGTTTGTTTCCAAGCCCCTTGTTTCCTAAAAATTTCTTCATTTGTATCCTCTGACATCTAGCTCCCTGTCAGTGTAAGACTGCAATCATGGTTGGATGATCCTCAGCAAAATTTTACTTGCATATGATAGCAATGATTTGTTCTATAATTTAAATATTCTTTTTTATAACCTTTCTTTGAAATGGGTAAAAACAAGGATTTCTTCCAGTCACTGGCAAATAGCTGTCTTCCAAATTTTCTGGTTCAGATGAGTACGTGCGTTCAATGCTTCATTAGCTTGTTGAAACATTTCATTTGCCAGTACGTAAATTCCTGGAGGCTGGTTTTAGCTAATGCTTTCCGTACAGTTTAGATTATTTTTCCCAGTACAATTGGTTTTTGCTCATAAGTAACGTCCCGGTATGGTGGCATGTCCACTAGTTCTTTTTTGTACAGTGACTCTGTGTTCTTTGCATCTTTTTTTTTTTTTTAACATTTCCTGGATTGTTCAATATTTTGCCCATAGTATCTTTCAGTCTTGAAACGCGGGTCTTGAATATTGTTTGTTCCAGATCTTTCATTTTAAATTATGTTGGGCATGTGCTCTCTCTTTTGGTTTTATAACTCTTTATCTTTCCACATTTCATGATAATATTTTATTTGCCTTCTCCAGCTTCCCTTTGAAATTTTATGTTCAGTTCTTTCCCTCATTTCTTCCACTTTCCTTCGCTCGTCTGTGATGAAGAGCAAGTTTCAGAGTCTCTTCTGACATCACTTTGATCTTTTCTTTCCCCCTTGCATCTTAATGACCTTCAGCTTTCTCGTGGATGATACTCTTTATGTCCTCCCACAGCTCATCACGTCTCCCGTCATCTGTTTCCGGAGACGTTCTCAAACTTGAAAGGGAGTAGACTCCAGAGAAAATGTTGGCTCTCACGGATTTGTTTTAATTTACTTCAGCTTCAACCTGAACTTACAGATGAGAAATTGTCGCTCGGTTCCATAGTCACTTCCTGGCCTGGTTTTAGCTGCTGATATTGGGCTTTTCCATTGTCTCTTCTTACAGATGTAGTCGATTTGATTTCTGTGTATTCCATCTGGAGAAGTTCATGTGTATGGTCATGTGCAGTTTCTGTTATGAAAAAGGGTATTCACTGTAAACAAGTCATGGTTCTTGCAAAATTCTATCATTCAATTTCCAGCTTCATTTCTATCATCAGAATCATATTTTTAAACTGCTGTTCCTTCCTCCTTATCTCAAACTTTTGTATTCCAATCACCAATAATTATCAATGGATGTTAATTGCATATTTGATCAATTTCCTACTGAAGATAGTGGTAGAATTCTTCCAATTCTTCATCACTAGCTTCTATGGTGAGTACATACATTTAAATAGTAGTTGTGTTGAATGGACTTCCAAGAATGGAGATAGATATAATCCTGTTAAAGACAGCATAGTACTTCAAAATAGATCTTGAAATGTCCTTTTTGGTGATCGATTCAATTCGATTCCTCTTGATTATGTCATTATCAGCATAGCAAACTATACGATTTTCTGATTTAAAGTGGCCAATACCAATTCATTCCAGCTACTAGTGCCTAGGATAGTGATTTTTGTGTGTTCCACTCTATTTTTGAGAACTTCCAATATTTTTAGATTCATACTTTGTACATTCCAAGCTCAGAGGATCAGTTGTGTTAGCTGCTGATTCTGCACACTTTGAGTTGTATCCCGACCGCAAATGAAGATCCCAAAGGCTTTACTCCACGCATGTCATCAGAGCGGACTAGGTTGAGAAGACACGTCCTCCTCACTCATCAACGGACTGCCTCTGGTCCGAGGGCCCTCCCTCTGGCAGGGCTTCTGACAATGCTCTCCTTCCATTCATTAGGCCTTCAGTATTGGACAAGGTTTGATGCTATGCATAGGGCTTTAAGAGGCTGCTTCCTCTAAACAGACAACTGATTCCGACTTTGTTGTCTGTTCTTAGTCTGGAAGCTCACTTGAAACTTTAGATGTTCACTTTACATGACCCTGCTGCTATTTGAAATACCAGTGACATAGCTTCGAGCATCACAGTCATACATAGCCACCAATGTAAGACAAACTGACAGACAAGTGATACTATTCCACAATAGCAAAGATCATATAGAAATAGAATTTATTATTATTATTTTTAGTCAATTTTGAAATCATTGAATACAAGAATGCAGACAAGAAACATGGATGCAGCACTGTCTGAAAAAAAGTGTCTTTTACATGATAAATAGGTTAATTGCGCTTTCAGTGGCCCACTTTTAAGTATGAGGAATACAATTTGATGTCAAAAATGGATGGCCTCACATGATAACTAGCTGTATTTTTATTACTGTTGATTAAGAAAATCCATATATGCTGTTCTATGGAAGTGAGTTGAACTGAGCCCCTTTGTGAGATATATATATATACATGGATATATACTATCCATATATGTATGATTTTATATATATATATAAAATAAATTTTGTTTCTCTAGAGAACCCTGCCTAACACAGTTCACTAACAACTGTTATCCATTATGATGTTTTCCATGTCTTGCATTTTATTTCCCCAGTCACTGTTGTATTCCTTCCATTCTCACTATTCTTATTACATGTTCTATGGGTCACTTCTCTACTCATCCTCATGCAAACCTTTTCTGCCACTCTTATTAGTTCCTTCCACCTCCTCTCTTGAATGCATCATCCAGGAGCTATTCATATTTAAAACTGAACCTCTGATGTAAATTAGAAATACTGCTGAAAATCGTGAGTAAAAATAGATAACTTGGAAACTGTGCATGTATAAAGAAATGTGTTTTTTTAAATAACCTACTATTATGTTACTATGAATTTTGTATATACACATTATATAATGTCAATACTAGTTTCCACTCATTAAACTAGTTCTCTACATTGGACCTATAATCTTGCCTTAACAACACACCGTACCTATGATTCCCTAATCCCAGTTTCATTTGGAATGTTAAGTTTCGAACAAAAATGTTGTTTCCTCATCCTCATAATCTATGAAACAAACTACATTGACTCAAAATTGTCTTTTCCCCCTTGCTTTTACTTCTTCCTTACTGTCTTTCTGCTCCTGTTTGTCCTTTTTCTCTGCCACAATATTACAGATCTCCAGTCTCCATCTCAGACTCCCCCTTGTATCACATCTATCAGAGTTGGCGTGCTTCCAAGTTCAGTTTTGAATCTAGCATCCCAATGTCTCTAGCTTTAAGATTTGGTAGTTAAGTTTACTTTTTACTGTTTCTCATTCTGGAGAGCTTTTCTCAGGTCAACCCCACTAATAAGCATAAACAATGCATGCAAATCTGTCCCCAATATTAACAGGACAATCTTGTAAGTAAACAATGTCTTTTGTAGGTATGTGTGTTTTGCATAAATGTCAACTATCATCACATTGTCGACATGTATACTTACACTCAGCATATTTCTGAAGTTGTGAGAACTCCGAGGGACTGAGGTGGGCCCACTTCTCCTGGTTGGTCATTGTGCTGACGAGGAGTGCTCTCTCTTACATACCAGGTGAGGAGTCTTTATTCCGGGGTTTGGCAGAACTCTACGCTTCAAAAATTCCACGTGGCATGTTTCATGATAAAAAAATCTCAAGTCAACACGACACTGCGGTGGATATGAGTTTGCAGTTTCAATAATGTATTAAAGCACTGCAGAAAGAGAAACACAAAGATTGAACAAATATTAGTATTGTTGTGAAAAAATTACAAGTTCTAGCTAGAGTTTTAAAATTCTTGGACAATGCATTTCAAAGTATTATATATTTTGGCAAACTCTAATTGCTTATCTACTGCAAAATTGTCTTTTAAAGTGTACTTAATAACAAATTACAGATATAATTGAAAGGGAACAATGTGAAGAAAATTGTATATTGTCTAATTTCATATATGTAAACTTTTTGATCCTTTGTGTAAACTCGACATCTCGAAAGCAGTCAAGAACATAATTTTTTTCAACCCAACACCATTACTTCTTTAATATCTAAAAAACGGTCTGTATATACCATTCCTACTTTAATAGAATTTGAACCACTACATGGATTGGACTGCACAGATAGCAGGCATATTTACAATGATAAATAAATTTCAAGTGCTGAATAAATTTTTGTGAGCATTTTAATAAAAAGAATTATTCTAGTCTTACAATTTAAAAAATCCAATGCAATTTACCAAATTAAAGACATTCTAAATATCTCACAGATATATTTGGTAAATATGTTTACATAATGATACTTATCACTTTGGTTCATACTTTAAAAATCCCTAAGTTGTCATGCCTTTACATTTACAGGAAAATCAAGTGAAAACTCAGCTAGTTTCACTTATTGTCTGAGACTATAATCAACATGACTGGCACGCTGGTCTGTTTAGCAAACACATTATCTGGTCAAATAATGCTTGCAAAGTTCATGAAACTATCGTTGAGAGCTTCTGAATGCAGATGTCATTACATAATGCTAAAGTACGCAGAAGGGCAAGGCTCATTGGGCCTTAGTGTTTCATCCCATTTCAGCATCTTTTCCTGTTCTTCAGTATCAACAACCAGGACTTCCCTCTCAAATCCTGTCTTTCTTGACTTATAACATTGTTTTGTTGGGTTTATCTGTTCAGGATTCATCCACTCAACTTTTCAAGGTGATTGTTCTCTGTTTCACTTGAAACATTAAGGCATCAATATATTGGTCTTGGTCAAATAGTTGATTCCCTTTTCTCTTCCATGGTAGGCTTTTACTGACATTTGTCTGAAGTTTGGGAAGCATGTAAACTAAAAAAGCAACGAGAATGTGTGGTGAAATTTCTTCCACTTTGAGTCACCCTGACATCGCCCTTCACACTGATTACATTCAAACGCCTTGCTTCTCTCTAATGTGTAACCATATTGAGACTATACAATAAGGTGTCCTGTTTCACTCTAGCCGAGGGACAGATAATTAAATCATATGCTCATCTAAGACACATTAGACTATCTCTGTTGCGAATTTAACTTAAATGGAGTACCCAGTAGGCATGGTGAAAAGAAGGGAAGCAGAAAGAGAAAGGCCTCGACGAGCTGGCTTAGCATGGTAGCTATGAAGTTAGACGCAGACATATCCACCATTGTGGGGAGCGTGCAGAACTGAAAACGGGTTTCGTCTGCTGTACATAGCACACAGGGTTACTATGTTTCAGAACCAAGGTGATGGCACGAACAATGACAGCATCTATGACAGTAGGGATTAGTCAGTGAATTTCTACCACACGTATATCCTTGTTGGGTTTTTGATTCCCTCCAGTTATCTTAGTTTTAGGAAATAGTAATTTTTTTAAAGAAAGGATTAGGGTGGTTTCAATTCGAAAATCATATATGTGAGATTGGCTGTGCGTTTATTCATTTTCAGAAGTGTTTGAAGAACTCTCCTCTGCGCTAAACACCATTATCATTGTTGTTAAATGCAATTGAGTCCAGTTCATCTCAGAGCTACCCGATGACCGGAACAGAAAACTACCTGACAGGAGAACAGTCTCACGCATTTTGTTCAGTTTCAGAGCATCACCATAGCAACTGAATCAATGCATCTCATTGAAGGTCTTACTCTCTTTCTCTGACCCTATACTTTACTAAGAATGATGACCTTTTCCAGGAACTAGAACCAATCTGAAGTAAATGATGTGTTATTCTACGCATATTATATTGCACGACCCTATGATTGAAAGGGCCATTTCAGGCACTAATGCTTAGTGTGTCAATCCTTGTATGTTCTATTTTTTATGTTTTCCAATTTTCATACATTCATACTTCATATATTTGAGATTCCAATTATTAATGAATGTTTGCCTCTTTCTCTTTTAATTTTGAGTGCCCCATCAGAAAATGAAGATCTTAGAAACTTGTTCCACTCAAGTCTTCAAGGTCAACTGTGTTTTAAAGAGGCAGCTCTTCCTCAATTGTACTCTGAGCACCTCCAAACTGAGGAATTCCTCTTCTGGTGCTGGACCCTACGATGTTCTTCTGGCATTCCCAATGTTTTCAGTAGCCAATGTTGTCACTTTCTAAGATGTGAACCACCTTATTCCTTCTTCCTCATCTGGAAGTCTGGAAGTTATATGGAAAGTGTAGAACCCAGGTAGCATTTGAAAACAAAACAGAACAAACATGGTAGCATTGTTTCCGGCATCCCAACAATGCACAAGTTATTGCTGTAAAATAAACTGAAAGGAGGAGTGCAGGCATTGGGAATATGGCAAAGATGGAAAATCAGTTTCAATCCCCCAAAATGTGACAGTTTTAGTTACATGCTTGCAGAGAGCACTGAACTTTCTTATAACAACGTGTGTGTGTTAGATCATCCAGTCTTGAAAACTATATGAAGTATAAGCTAATGATCTTCCCTTTGCAGAAATTAAGAAAACTAGCAAGGAGCAAGGAAGATCAAGGATTTCAGCCTTCAATCTGTGTGCTAAGCAAATAATTGAGGAATTTCTTATATGAACAAGAATGAACCATCATCATGTAAGGGGGGCTTATTAACAACCTGCCATCTGCAGATAACACAGTCATGCTTCTGAAAGTGAAGACGATTTCAAGCACTTGATGAAGCTCAAGGACGGCAGCCTGCAGGATGGACTGCAACTCAATGTAAATTAAAAACGTTCTCACAACTGGACCGATAAGAAATATCATGGAAAACAGAGAAATGATTGAAATGGTCAAGGATTTCATTTTCCTTGGGTCCATGATCAATGTTCATGGAAGCAGCTGTCAAGAGATCAAAGGATGTCTTGCATTTGGTAAATCTGCTCCACAAGACCTCTTTAAAGTGTGGAAGATCAGATGCATGACTTTAAGCACTAAGGTGAGCCTGACCCATGTCTTTGTCTTTTCAATGGCTTCATATGCACAGTAACTGTATAGAACTGGTTAGAACCACCCTGTTTTGTTTTCTGAGACTGTAAATCTTTACAGCAGGAGACAGTGTTCACTTTCTGGCAAGGAGTAGGAGTAACATTCGATGTGTAGCTCACTGTACCAAGGGGCTCCTGAAGCATAGCAGATGTTAATTGACATTTCAAATTAAAACTGTTACAACTTTTGTCCTTCATTAAAAATTACAGTAAGCATATATTCAACACAACATTTGCCATTCAACAGTGCTCACATATACAATTCAGTGACAGGAGTTCTGCTCGTCAGGGTGTTTGTTCAACGGCATCCTTTTCTGCTCCCAAATCTGACCCAGCATATTCAGGAGGAAAGTAGCCAGCAGCACCGATTCTTCATGCCGCAGAGGGTGACGGGAGTATGGGAGCAATGGCAGCCCTTTTTCAGATCCTCAGACCGCTTCAAAATTGGGAGACAGAGAGTGACTGCTCAGTTAGGGTTTCCCAGGGTACACGCACAGACTTCTGGTTCCCCGGTAGGGGGTTATTTAGGCACAAAAATGAGTTCCAGGAGGACTCCAATTTTCTGACTGTTGAGAAGCAGCCGGGGTCTAAATTCCTCATCCAGTCAGTGAATGTGCCACTTTGCTTAGCTGGTGACATAGAATAATTATGGCGGGGGCCTTGGAAAGGTTCTTTGGGCCATTGTACCTGGTGCAAAGCACATACCCCATAATTAAAGAAGGAAATCAATCAACTCAACCAGAATCCCTTAGGTAGTGTCTAAATAAATCAGCCTGACAGGTTGGATAGATTGTTTGTTAGTCACATCAAATATAGACTTCTAAATAATTATTAGAAATCAGCACACTGACTTCTCATTCCCATCAATGAGAAGTTGAAAGAGAAACTCATTGAAGTTGCTGTACTCAAACTAAGAAATAAAGCACAGGAACAATTGCAGTCTTGAAAACTGAGGAGAATGCCAAACAGCAGAGGTGAAGCAGACAATAGGAGCCTTGCTGTCTCCGGGTGTAAGCACTGGGCCGCTAACTGCATTCGAACTCACCAGCACTCTACAGGAAAAGGTGATGCAGTCTACTTTCCAAAAGATCATGAGCCTGGGAAGCCCTGTAAGACAGTTCTGTGTGGCCCTATATGCTCGCTAGGAGTCCTCATCAACTGGATGGTAATGGCTTTGGTTGGTGTTTTTAAGGAATGCAAGTGTGACTGAACCTGGGGAGCAGAGCACAAAGGGGCTTCAGATTACATTGAAGAAAAAGGTAAGAGTACAAGACGGAGGCTATTGGAGTTCATCTGAAGAATAGTATCATTGACGTTAACTAAATTATTAAACAATTGGAATATTTTGAGCCTATTTTAATATATTGCAATTATATTTTCAGAAGTTCTTGCTGATCAATGGATTGAGAGGTCACAAACAAAATGTAAGCGAGAAGACGCTGTCACTGCAGTAAGATTTTGTCAGATCTGTGGTGTACGGCTAACCCTAACCAAGCCAATGGAGGATGCTTTTGATGATCAACTGAGCTTTCCACTGAGTTAGCTGAGATTCTGTCCCATCTGCATTCCTGTGTAAGGTTATCTCAGAATGACCCTGCATCCCTCAGGGCCAGATGTCCAATAGGTATGCTTGCCCAAAACTTTTTCTAACCCAATCCTGTTCTCATTCCAGATAGCTTTGATAGACAGTCTTTTGGTGAAAGAGGTAAAGGAGGCCATGTGCCAACATACCAATAAGAAACAAATGGTTTCATGGATTGAATTGTGAC